ATACAATGGAGTCAAGACAGTTTCTTCAATAAATGGTGTTGGGAAAATTGGACAGACACATGCAAAAGAATGAAACTAGATCACCAACTTACACCATTCACAAAAATAAACTTAATATGGATACAGGACTTAAACATCAGATGGGAAACCATAAAAATACTAGAAGTATCCACAGGCAGCAAAATCTCAGACGTATGCCAAAAGAACTTCTTCACTGATACTGCCCCTAGGGCAATGGAAGCTAAAGAGAAAATAAACAAATGGGACTACATCAAAATAAAAAGCTTTTTTACAGCAAAAGAAACCATCAACAAAACAACAAGAAAGCCCACGGTGTGGGAGAACATATTTGCAAATAATACCACTGATAAAGGTTTAATCTCCAACATCTATAGACAGCTTATATAACTAAACAAAAGGAAAATGAATTATCCAATTAAAAAATGGGCAATGGACCTAAATAGAACATTTTCAAAAGAAGACAGTAGAAAGGCCAAGAGGCACATGAAAACATGCTCAAAGTCACAAATTATCCAAGAGATACAAATCAAAACAACAATGCGGTACCATCTCACACCTGTCAGAATAGCCAACATCAACAAATCAACAAATGACAAGTGTTGGCAAGGTTGTGGAGAAAAAGGAACCCTCGTGCACTGCTGGTGAGAATGCAGATTGGTGCAACCACTGTGGAGAACAAATGGCGTTTCCTCAAAAAACTGAAAATAGAACTCCCATTTGACCCAGAAATCCCACTCCTAGGAATATATCCCAAGAAACTAGAAACACCAATCAGAAAGGATATATGCACCACTATGTTCATAGCAGCACAATCTACAATAGCTAGAATTTGGAAACAGCCAAGGTGCCTGTCAACAGATGATTGGCTCCAAAAACTATGGTACATCTACACAATGGAATACTATGCTGCCATAAAAAGAAGGAATTCTCATCATTTGCAGCAACCTGGATAGAATTGGAGAACATCACGCTGAGTGAAATAAGCCAGTCAATGAAAGAAAAATACCGCCGAGACCGGTTTGGCTCAATGGATAGAGCGTCGGCTTGGGGACTGAAGGGTCCCAGGTTCGATTCCGGTCAAGGTCATGTACCTTGGTTGCGGGCATATCCCCAGTAGGGGCTGTGCAAGAGGCAGCTGATCAATGACTCTCTCTCTCATCGATGTTTCTAGCTCTCTATCTCTCTCCCTTTCTCTCTGTACAAAATCAATAAAATATATTTATAAAAAAAAAAGAAAGAGAAATACCACATGACCTCACTCATTTATGGATAATAAAGAACATTATAAACTGATGAACCAAAAGACAGATATAGAGACAGTAAAGCAACAGGCAGACTGTCAAATTACAGTGGGGAGGGGAGGGAGATCTGGGGTAGATAAGAGATCAACTGAAGGATTTGTATACATGTATAAAAGTACAACCAATGGACACAAAACTCTGGGGAGGGAGGGTATGTATGGGGGCTGGGGGGGGCAAAGTTAAATTATGTACACAGATAATAATTTAATTTAAAAAAATAAAAAATAAAAAAATAAATTTTTTCAATTCTTCTCTAGAGGCAAGAAAAATAAGACCATGTACTTATATAATATTTCCATTGTGTCACAGCTCAAATCTCATTTCAAAACAAAATTCATCTTGTATAATACATTTAATATCTCATTACTGAACTAACTCCTATATTCCAAGTCCTCTCCCACCCTCATTTACAGTGCCCTCAGAGAGGTGAGAGGGCCCTCACAAATAAAACCAATTCAAACTTTTACTTTTAATAGACAAAACTCTTTTTACATTTTAAATATCTCATTTTTGTCAATATATCTAGATAAATTCTTCCTATTAAGAACTCTTAAGAGTGAATAAAATAATATTTAAAAATGCATTTTACAGTATGGACATTCCTCAAAAAATTAAAAAGAGAATTATCATATGCACCAATAATCCCTCTTCTGGGTATATATCCAAAGAAAATCAAATCATACCTTGGATAGATATTTGAACTCCCACATTCACTGCAGCACTATCCACAATAGACAAGATATAGAAACAACCTAAAAATTTGTCCATAGGTGAATGGATACAGAAATTGTGTGATTTACAATGGAATATCATTTAGCCTTAAAAGTAAAAACAAACAAACAAACAAAAGCAAACAAACAAACAAAAAAACCTGCCTTTGCAACTACATGGATAGATCTAGAGGTTATTAATGCTAGATGAAATAAGACAGACACAGAAAAAAAAAAGTACTGTATGATCTCACTTTTATGTGGCATCTAAAAAGTCCTACTCATAGAATCAGAGAGTAGAATGATAGTTCCTAGGGGTAGGAGTAAGGGGAAATGGGGAAATGTTGGTCAAAGGGTACAAACTTTCAATTATGTAGGATGAATCAGTTCTAGAGATCTAATGTACACCAGGCTGACTATAATTAATAATACTGTATTGGAGAGAATTAAAACTGTTGGCAGAGTAAGTGGATGCTGCACAGACATGCTCTCAGGAACAAATTGGTATTACAACTAAAATACAAAAATACTTCCCAAAATTGTGTGACATTTTCTTTTACCAGGTTAGGGAAGTTTTCTGCCATTATTTCTTCAAACACCTTCTCTATGCCTTTCTCTCTTTCTGCCTCTTCTGGCACACCTGCTATTCTAACATTGTTATGTTTCACATTTTCCCACAGCTCCCTTAAGTTGTCCTCCTGTTTTTTTCTTTTTGATTCTCTGATTGAGTTATTTTTTTCAACCCTGTCTCCAAAATTTACAGGGACCTCATACAACTTAATAAAAGGAAGATAAACAACCCAATCAAAAAATGTGCAAAGGACCTATATAGACACTTTTCAAAAGAGGACATATAGAAGGCCAAGAGACATATGAAAACATGCTCAAAGTCACTAAATCACCCAAGAGACGCAAATCAAAATGATAATGAGGTACCATCTCACACCTGTCAAAATGGCTATCATCAACAAATGAAAAGTGCTGGCAAAGATGTGGTGAAAAAGGAACCCTCTTGCACTGTTGGTGGGAATGCAGACTGGTGCAGCCACTGTGAAAAACAATATGGAGTTTCCTCAGAAAATTAAAAATGGAACTCCCATTTGACCCAGTAATTTCACTTCTAGGAATATATCCTAAGAATCTAGAAACACCAATCAGAAAGGATATATGCACCCCTATGTTCATAGCAGCATAATTTACAATAGCTAGGATTTGGAAACAGCCTAAGTGCCCAACAGCAGATGAATGGATTAGAAAATTGTGATACATGTACACAATGGAATACTCCGCTGCTGTAAAAAAAAGAAGGAACTCTTATCATTTGAACCTGTATGGACCTGGAGAGCAATTTGCTAAGCAAAATAAGCAAGTCGAAGAAATATAAACATAACATGATCTCACTCATTTGTGGAATATAATGAACAAAAATAAAGCCAAAGAAAATAATATTTTAGAATATAATAGAAGTAATCCTGTTATTTGCAGATTTTTAATATTTCCTACAACTTTTGTGATATTATACTATGTTAGTACAGTTTTGGTAATATTATTGTATTTAAAATCTTTTTTCTTGAAATAGTCATGTTTATTGCATGTAACATTATATTTCAAATAATTTTTCTTAAAAAATAAAATGATAGAAAATATAATAATAATAGTAATATTGTATTGAATATTTGAAAGTTGTTACAAGGGTAGACCATAGGTGCTCTTACCACACACACACACACACAAAAAGTACGTAAGGAGATAGGTATGTTTATTAGCTTGACTGTAGTAATTATTTCACTGTATAAAACAACACTATAAATATATACTATTTGTATTTTTAATTGAAAAATATTTAAAAGAAATAATGTGTTTTAAATGCTACCTGAGGTAGCAGAAAAGTAAAGAAAATCCTTGAAGGCCAGAAACAGAAAATAAATCCACAGAGGGTATCTAGTTCCAGCTAGAATTTGCCACAGGGAATCTGTCTATTTATCCAACAAACATATTTTCTATAATAGGCCAGATCATAAATATTTTAAGTTTTTCAGGGAGCACATAGTCTGTTGTATCCACTCAACTCAGCCATTGTATCATGAGAGCATGTATAGATAGTATACAAATAATGAATATGGCCCTGTTTCAATAAAACTTTATATAAACAGGCAGCAGGCAGAATTTAGCCTTTAAGTAATAGTTTTCCAGTTCCTTCTTTATAGCCTGGCTTTTAATATTTTTCCCTTAAGAAAGCATGTCTGATATATGACACTTTTGTCCTATGTGGTAAACTGTTCTAGGCATGGTCACAATTTCTTCACACCTCCCTGTACACATGCCTTGGGAGACCCTCTCACAATGACCCTGGGCTAGACCATTTGACTTGCTATTGCTAATGAGACAATAATAAATGTAGCATCAAAAGAGATTTGAAAGTACTAGCAGAATGGGGATTGTCCTCTCTTGCTGGTCCTGAATCCATCACTGTGTGAATTAGCCCAGGTCAGCCAGCCAAAGACACATGATCCATCATCCCTATTATCACAGCCAATAGGAAACATTAACCAACAGCCAGCACCAGTTGCCAGACATATAAATGAAGCCATCCTAACCAACTATCCCCAGGCAACCTACCAGTTGACTGAAGTCCCATGAATGAGTTTAGATGAGACCAGCAGAAGAACTGCCTAACTGAACACAGCCTAAATTGCTGAACTACAGAAGCATAAGATAATATATGATTGTTTTAATTATTACGTTTTTGGGTTTATTCTGCAGCAAGAGCTAAATTATACATTCCATAGGAAGTATATTATCTCCTAAACGTAAAAAGTGAGAGTCAACAAATTAACTACAGAAATGGGGAATAGAAGACTGAGGAAGCTCACAAAAAATGTATTTCCATTTTTAAGATCCTATCACCTGCCAGCAGGAATAAGCCCTTCCTTGTTCCTCCTCATATGCTGGAACAAATTCTTCCTACCTGAGCAGACTTCTTGGTAAGTCGGATTGGAAGTGTAGCCTCCTGCATAGCCAACTTGAGTTGAATATACTCCTTTCAGGGTCCAAAATTTCCTCTCTGCTCCCCAGAAACAGCCCATTCCTAAGAAAAACAAAATATTGTTTAGTCCTTTATCAAAAACTAGAGGCCCTGTGCACGGATTCGTGCATGTATGGAGTCCTGCTGTCTCACCCCAATCGGGGCTGATTGGGACAGGCTGGCCTGGGGGAGAGGCCATGGGTGGTTGACCAGCTGGACCTGCCCCCCACCCCCCGGTCAAACTCCTGGTTGATCGAACTCCCACCCAAGGGGATAATTGCATGTTTTATTATATAGGACTAGAGGCCCAGTGCATGGATTCATGCACCAGTGGGGTCCCTCAGCCTGGCCTATGCCCTCTCATAATCCAGGACCCTTCAGGGAATGTTGGACTGCCAGTTTCGGCCCGATCCCCACAGGCCAGGCTGAGGGACCCCACCAGTGAACAAATCTGTGCACCAAGCCTCTAGTATGCATATAAGATCTTTGGTTAATTTCTTCTAGCCCTACCCCCACCCCTTCCCTCTGAGATTCATCAGTCTGTTCCATGTTTCCATGCCTGTGTATTGAGCATCTGCCCCCGGTAGTCAGTGCATGTCATAGCTACTGGCTACACAATCAAACAGTCTATTAGGCATAGATAGATAGATAGATAGATAGATAGATAGATAGATAGATAGATAGATAGACAGACGATAGTTAGATTGATTTCACATATGTGCTCAGTTTTTTAATTTTTTTAAAGTCATATGCCTTTATGTGATAGATCACTGCTCCCCAAAAAGAGTAGTTTCCAGAATTCTACTACTGAGATTAATGAATGAGGAAAAAGAGAGCGCAGAAATGCAGGAAAGGTAGGAACAAAAAACAAAGAAACTCACAAAAATAGCATTCCCATCAACTAGCAAACATGGTATTCAAACAAGTAGATACTGGATTCCTTTGAACATATGAAAACTAAGTCCCATTTCTCATGAATGCACATACACATATTGAAAATGATAACATATTTTTGTGGGCTCTGAAGAGCCCTCATTTTCTACCATGAGTTTTTAACTGTGCACAACAGATATCTGTGGCCAATTTCTAGATGTAAATAAGATACCTGCCTCACTCCAGATTTATATGGCATTATTAAGTCATATATAATTAATATCTCAGTTGGAACAACAGTTGGCAAATTAATATATGCCTCCTACTATGATTACTAGATTAGTTAGATTTGATGACAGTGCTGAAAGAAAAAATAGATGGAAGTTTACTAAAATTCTTGACAATTGTTAATATTCTACTTTAAATATTCAAAGCAACAATAACCAAAAAGCAATGTGCATAGCATTACATATTACACAAAAATATATTTGCTCCAATGTGATGGAAAATATACTAACCAAAAATAACTTAACAGTTAAAATATACCATAGAACCAAATGATGAAATTTAATGCAGTAAAAAAATTACTGTTGTAATAACAATGCAACATGGAAATATCTATATGCTTATGTCATTATTACCTAAAGCTAAATTTACAAAGAAAAACCAATTATGTGCATGTTTTTATTACAACTATGAAAATATATTCATACCAAAGTAGACTAGAAAAAATATAGTTATAACCATAATTGTATTACAGTGATAAGACTACATAAATATTTTTTTCTTTTCAAGCTTTTCTGGAGTCATAGTATTTTAAAAGTGTATACATTTTTAAAAGGAAAGCAAAAAATTCAAAGGAAAACATAAGCATATGCATTATTTGAGTTATACAGTGCTATATACTATGCTTCTATTTGCAAAGGAAATGTCTGCTACTAATAGATATAACTAAATATTTACTAAGTATTTATAAAAATACTCAAGTCTCTGGAACAAGGATTCCCTATTACTTTAACTTCATTGCATTCCTGAGATGTGGGAATTATGTTAGGGTTCTCAAGAGAAACAGAACCCATAGGAGGTAGATGATAGATGGATAGATAGATAGATAGATAGATAGATAGATAGATAGATAGATAGATAGATAGATATTATGAGAACTTGGCTTCCACAAGTATGTGGGTTGAGAGGTTGCCCAGCTATAGTCTGAAAGCTGGAGACCTAGGAAGCCAGTACTATAATTTGTGCAAACTCAAAGGCCTGTTAACCAGGAGCACTAATGTTGGAGGGCAGGAGAAAATGATGTCCCAGCTCAAACAGAGGGAGTGAATTCACCCCTCTTTTGTCATTGTGTTCTATCCAGGCCCTCAATGGATTGAATAATGGTGAGGTAGGTGTCCTTTACTCAGTGTACCAATTCAAACGCTAATCTCTCCTGGAAACAACCTCACAGACACACCCCAAAATGTAGTTTTATCTGGGCATCTCTTAGCCAGCTCAAGATAGTATGTAAAATTAACCATCAGAGAAACAACGAAATCTCTGGAGAAGAATGGATAGAAAGTGCTCTGGACAGCATTATTGAGCATAAAAAGCCACAAACGCATCCAGGAGTTGTACAATGTTCCAAGCTAAAGGCACCCTGGCCCCTGAAGTTCAGAAGTCTTCAGTGTGATCTGAATAAAAATATATCCATATTGCACAATAACTAACAGTGATGGTACCAAAGAGCACTGCACACAGGTACATGACTGGCTATTTTAGCAACCTGCCTAACCTGACCATTGTTCCTCTGTCCTCAGTATTTCCTGCAATTTTGGAGTGAGATCCAGGGGCTTTATCAGACTCAGATTTCATTCTTTGCCAAAATTATAGGTGATACTATGTTCTTTTTTATTTTAAATTTTTTCCAGGTTTATTAGATATAAGTGACATGGAGCATTGTGTAAGTTTAAGGTATACAATGTGATAATTTGACACACACATATATATATATTGTGAAGTTGTTATAATATAGTTAACACATCCATCACCTCACATAATTACATTCTTTATAGTGAGAGCATTTAATATCTACTGTCTTAGCAACTTTCAAGTACAAAGGACAGCATTATTAACTATAGTCACCATGCTAAATATTAGATCACCAGAACATATCCATCTTATACTGGAAGTTTGTACCCTTTGACCAACATCTTCCCATTTCCCTACCTCTAAGCCCCTGACAATCACCAAATCTCTATTTCTATGAATTTGACTTTTATTTTAGATACCAATGTAAGTGCGGTCATAGAGCATGTCTCTTTTCTCTGTCTGAATCATTTATATTTATAAGAGAGAGTGAAAGAGAAGGGGAAAGACAGAGAGAGAAACATCAATGTGAGAGAGATACATCAATTGGTTGCCTTCCTCATGTGCCCGGACTGCAGCCAGGGATGGTGTCTGCAACTGAGTTATATGCCCTTGACTGGAATCCAACCTGTCAGTTAATTGGGCCTATGCTCTATCCACTGAGCAAAACTTGCCAGAGCTCTCTTTCTGATTTATTTCACATAGCATAATGCCTTCAAAGTGCATCCATCTTGTCACAAATGGCAGGATTTCCTTCTTTTTTATGGCTGTCATACATGACCTTTATTATGTTGAGGTATAGTTCTCCTATGCCTTCTAAAATTTGTTGAAAGCTTTTACCATGAAAGGATAGTCAGCTTTGGCAAAAGATTTTTCTGCATTTACTGAGATTCATACAATTTTTATCCTTCATTATATTAATGTGGTATATCATATTTATTGTTAAGTATCCTTGCATCCCACTTGATCATGGTATATGATTTTTTTAATGTACTACTGAATTTGGTGGGAATCTCTACCTCATCCTAACATTAATTAGAATGTATCAATAAGTATGATATTTGTTGCATGTTTTGACAAATATCTTTTCTCAGACAAAGAAAGTGTTCCTCCATTTCTAGTTTATAAAAAGCTTTTTATCATGTATGAGTTTTGAATTTTAAAAATGCATGCATTCTTTTGAGATGATCATATGTTTTCCATTTAATCTCTTACAGAAGTATATTACATTTATAGATTTTTCTGAACCACATTACAGTAAAACTTACCTACTAATGCATTTTAATATTGAAGAATTACTTTTGCAAACATTTTATTTTTAAAGTTTCCACTTATGTTCATAAGAAAGATTTGTCATGATTTTATTTCCTTGAACTATCTTGGCCAGAATTAGTATTAAGATTATATTGGCCTCATGAAATAAATTGGCTTTTCCCCTCCTATGTAACATTAGAAAAGAATTATTCATTCCTTGAAGTTACAATAAAACTTTTTGAACAACCTTGTGTCTTTGGAGAGGAGAAGAGAGGGATTGGGGTGACTTTAATTGTTGCACTGTTTTTTATTTATTCAAGTTCTCCCAATTCTATTTCTGTTTATGAGATTTATATAACAGAACTAACCTTGGCTCTCATTGATCCTCTGTTTTGGTTTCTATTTCTGCTCCTTTTTTTTTTTAATAGTATCTTAGTGTGTACTTTATTTTAGTCTGTTGTTTTCCTGCCTTCTTGACATAAATACTTAGCTTATTTATTTTTAAGTATTCTTGTTTTCTGATAAGTGTACTTCAGTACACATTTACCTCTAAATTTTGCTTAGATAGATCTCACATATTTAGATAAGTAGTATTTCTCTTGTCATTCTTTAGCAAGTATTTTATAATTTTCATGTTATTTCCTTTTTACTCATCAATTTTTTAAGGTTGTACATTTTAATTTTTAGCATATGGCCTGTTTTTTATACTATCTTTTCATCTTGATACAATTTTATTATATTGTGCTTAGAGGGTATGGTCTTCATTATGTTCTTTTTAAAATTTGTTGAGATTTCCGAAGGTACCAGACCCTGATGGGGTGAATTCTATTTCATGAGGTCAGCCCCCACAGAGTAGCTTAGACACTATGGTAATGGCCAGTCTTCACAACCTGCCAGCATGAGGGTCAACCCAAAACATGGACATGCCAACTACAATCAAGACTCAAATACAATAGGAGAACTCACAGAATCCACACTAGAAACACACCTGGGGCACCCAGCTCAGGTGATCAGGGAAACTATACCACTGGGCCCTACATAAGACTATCCTCCAACACTGGGAGACATAGCAGAACTAACTA